ACAATAAAAAAAAAAAAAAAAAAAAAACGACTAATGGAAGTCGACGATGTTTTTTCCACTCGTATTTTTGTCTGGTCCCGCAATCCGCTCGCTGACAATCAAGATTCGATATTACTTGAGCTTGAATTAAAATTTTGCCTTACTGAAACGGTTCTATTGCGCGGGTACAGCGGCAGGGACAATGGCTTTATTTCAGCATTTATTTCTTGTGCCGGAGTCTGTGTGTACGTTCATGATGACATCAGTGTCAAGCGTCAAGTCAACCAGTCTCAAGAACCTTGAGGCACCGAGTTTTTCTGTTTTGTGGCTTCTGGTAGACATAGGAGTCACACAAATAGTGTACTGCTGTGTTTACCAGTGGCACAGTGTATAAGTATATACGTAACGATATAAATTTTATAGATTAAGAGAACTTTAAAGGAGTCAGATACAGAATTGTACAGCATTTCATTTTCATTTTATTTTTTTAGAGCAGTAACGCTCTTTGTGAAAGGACGAACGTCCAGGGAACTACTGCCACCTTACCTATTTCTGCCGCCAAGCGGTAGCGGCGAAATGACAGGCACATGGGACTTGTCAACTTGTGTCACAGGGTAACGGGCGCAGTGACAGTGCCCCTCAGATCTTTGCGATTTGAAGCCCTGAGTGACACTGCAACTGTTATGGATAGACGTGGCGCTTACCACCCGACACACGAATTGTTCATCCCGTCAGTTGGTATTAAAAAAAATATCATAATAACATAATATAATGGTAATAATATCAACTATAAGGAACAGTAGAGCTTCCTGTGAAACGGTTCGTCCATGGGAAGGTAACATCTCGCCCCGGAAAGCGAGACGAGATTCGGCGCTCGAACCGCTCACCGTCGGAGTCGCAGAAGAACAATAATAATAACGCACGCGCTCATCATACACTCGAGAAAGAGAGGAAGATAGATAAATGTAGGTCATATCATATAGAAAGCTTCCTGAGAGTAATTAAACAGGTGGGGTTTGAAATTAATTATTGACGGGAGCTGTTGAGCTGCAGTTGTGGTGCCTGACTTGCTGGGTGGCTATTGGTGTCAATATCAAATTGTGAATTCATGTGTATTTGTATAAGCGTGAAGCACCTTAGTAGGTATTATTATTATTAGATATAAGTATCGAGTTCTTAGGTTTTCGCGATTGTTACACATAGGAAATGAAACTATTTTTCCGAATTTAAATCGCGTATATTTGTTTTTTCAAACAAACCGACGTTTCGGGCCCATGGTCACGGTTAACCCGGAAAAATAGTTTCATTTCCTATAGATATAAGTATTTAAATAAATTATTTTAATTCATCCTGCTTTATCTCAACATTTTATAATTCTTTTCTGTTTATTTTTCCTCTTGTTTATTTTAGATTAAATACATTGTAAGATATTAAAATTATTATTAATATTAAAACAATCACAATGCAACGTGTACCGTAATATACCATTGTCAAAATTCACTTCATTTAATGAAGTCGTAATAGGGTCGCCACATGACAGGCTCTGCATAATGTGGGACCAACAGCAACCGTGCGTATTGCTCCTAGGCATGACATCACGTTTGCAATGCATATATATGTTAAAATATAATGTCAATTTACCTTAAACTTATTTGTTATATTGCTCATGCGTGTCCTATTGCTCTTTGTACTTGTGATGTCAAATAAATACATTATTATTATTATATAAATAGTCCAGAATATCCGTGACCTTTGCATGGCAGACCAGCATGGTAACCGTACGGGGCGACGTCGGTAGTTTGAAGTTTCAAAATCCTAAAGCCTATAATAAGAAACCTTTTCAAATGTGAAATATAAACAAGTTTTTTAAATGTTCATTTATTACCCTAATCTTACGACGTGACGTCTGGAGGTCAAAGCTTTAAGTTGTGAATGTCAAAGTCGAAGTCAAAGAATCATTTATTGCATAGGTAAAATAAATTTACACTTGAAAACGTCACATTTAAGGTACTGCTAGTTCATTACGCTGACTTCCCTGAGAAGAACGAACAAGAAACTCTGGGGATTGCTCTTTTAAAATAAACTTAAATGCTATGAAATACACTTTGAATCAAATTTGTGTGGATTCTGGAGCCATGTCGTCTTTCCATACATCTTTATCTAACACGTAGTCTTCAATTTTGTAATATGACTTTTCGATCAAAATATTTTTAATGTAGTTTTTAAACTTAGGAAAAATTAAACTTAATATATGCTCCGGAATCTTATTGTAACAACGTATACAGTTCCCCATAAAAGAGTCGTTTACCTAGGTTAAACGAAATCGTGGTACCATGAGTTTGGATTTAGCTCTAAGGTTAATATTATGGATATCTTCTTTCTTATTGAAATTATGTATATTTTTACGGGCGTATAAAATATTTGAGTAAATGTACTGTGATACCACAGTCATGATACCAGTCTCCTTAAACTTTTCTCTGAGAGAAACCTGAGAGCCTAGACGGTACACAGAACGAATCGCTTGTTTTTGCAATACAAATATGGTTTGAATATCTGCCGCTTTACCCCACATGAGAATCCCATAGGACATAATACTATGGAAGTAACTAAAGTAAACTAGTCTAGCAGTACTAACATCGGTAAGCTCACGTATTCTACGGACTGCATATGCAGCGGAACTTAATCTGCTGGCAAGGGAAGATATATGTGGAAACTATTGAAGTTTACTATCTAAGGTCACTCCCAAGAAGACTGTTTTCTTAACAAGGTCTAACTTTTCTCCGTCTATTTCTATGCTTGGACTAGTCGATTTTACGTTAGGTAATTCAAATTGAACACATTTTGTCTTCTTGGCATTAAGCAATAAATTGTTAGCATTAAACCATTGACTTACAATTATATGGACGTCGGGTCCGCGCTAAAAAGTGTCCGAACTTATAGGGCGTTAAAATCGTATACAGAGCGTCATTCACGCTTTAGTCTTCGTTTGTTCGACTGACAGCGAAGCAAGCAAAATTAGACAGTACTGCGATGACATTACAATTTAAATTCAACGTTTTAGGTTTTTCATATTCCTTTACATGTCACTACGTTTAAATAGGTTGACTTAGGACATTTTTTTCGTGGTTTTTGTATTAGACCCGTCGTCCATTTATTTGTAAGTCAATGCATTAAACCAATAAACTACCTTAGAGAGGGTATCATTAATATGGTCACAGGAATTGCAAAGTCTTTCGTTTTATAAATATTGTTATCTATATTATAAAGTCTGTCTTTTTTTTAAATGGAACAAAATGACAATTCACTGCGTGGAAGTGTTGCCCGCTTGCAAGTAGCTAGTGATTGCAGTCGATAAATATAATAAATAAATGTCGATAATCGACAGAATAATAAATATTCTGTCGATTATCGACTAAATACTGGTCACGTTATGCAATAAATAGCCGAATTTGTTTCATCTGAATAATCATCGGTCCTTTACTCGTACATCTTCTGGGCATAGGTTCATTTAAATTGTCAATTTATGTAAGTTCTTACATACATATACTGCACTAAAAACTAAGTCTATTAAAAATCCAAAGAGGAGAACTATTTTAAAGTTTCTTTTTTTATTTTAATTCAATACAGATAGTCAAATCCACCTAGTCTTATGAAAAAGTATATGAATGAAAATTGATTTCGATACTAGTAGGCCAGCTGTGAAAGTTAGAATAAAGAAGAGAATAACGCAATTACCAATCATTCACAATTCAGATATTTTTGGCAAAAAATTACATTCTTTCACCATCTATCGATAAAAATGTCGACAACAACTACATGACTTTTAAAATTTTGTGAAAACTGGCAACCCTGCAAATGTCATTTTACTCCGTCTTCAAAAAAGACAGACTATAGCTAAATTCGATGTAGAATAAACGTCGAAAAAACATGATTTCTAGGGTTTCTCACCTCAAGACTGTTTTGCGGTTACCACAATTAAGCTATTAATAATACTGCCGTGCTTACAATATTAACAGTAAGTATGTTTGAAAAACATAATATAGACTTACTGTTCTTATCATATGCACGGCAGAATACTAATCATGAAGTCATGTGTGTGACTAATTTGTTTGTTGTAGAATATCAATGGAAGTTTGTTATAGTTAACATGTACGTAAATATGTTGTTAGTAACTACACTATTGTATTAGGTTATACCTGTAATGATAGTTGTAAGAGGTAAAATAAATAAATAAATAAATAAATAAATAAAATAAATAAATAAATAAAATTTTGTTCTTTAGAAGTATAAAATTTACCAGTAATTAATCAAAACTATGTCATCCCTAATGATTTTTTATTTGAACGGAGAGGTAGCAAACATTTGAGTTCGAGAAGTAATACGAGTTTAGAATCAAAAATTGATGCTAGATGAGATATGTAGGAAATTTATATAAGTCTTACAATTTTCTTTCTTTTTATCTACCATTACCTACTATCTAACAGTAAGTTTTCATCGATATCACAACCTTAACTACTTTATTCATAAATAATTTGCCAGGTTCTTTCATTTCTTCTACATAACTTAATTTCCTATTTAAATTCCAATCACGCGAGCAGGCCATGGACAGAGCTAGGCTAAATAATGAGCTTTGACAAAAAATGTTCTTAACACCTGCCTAGCAACGTTTTGTTGTTAAACATTCTATATTGAAATTGGCTAGAGTACAGCTTTAAAATTCATAAGTGTAAAATGGAGTTGACATAAGTGCTAGGGCGCTATTCTATTGACCCATACACGCTTGATCCCGCTACATGCCTACCGCTTAAATGAGTTGGTTCCTGAGGTAGCTGCGCGGTGCTGGAGGGGTGACAGTTTACGTTACGTCACAGTTATGTCACACTGCACATGGGATAATCTCAACAAGATTTTTCTGACGATATTCAACATATAGGTGGTCACATCACAGACTTCTAAAACGTATCATCATTATGTGAAATTCGGCGATATAGACACTGATTTACTTGACAAGAAAAACTTACTCGTCGTGCAGGTTCTTTAACAGCTTTCCGAATGATTAGGGCCACACCACCGCCGCGACCAGGCTTGGAACCAGCCGGCCTGGGCACCTGGCCTACCAGACACCTTGCCTTTTTCTCTGGAGCGTAGTCGTCTTCATCATCAGATGCTGGTAAACAAAGTGCTATCTTATTAATGATTATAATGATTAGTTTTTTTGTATGATATTGAGTGTCGAAACGCCTATCCATAACAGTTGCAGTGCCACTCAATGCTTTAAATCGGAAATATCTGAGCGCACTGCACTGCACCCATCACACACGTCACTGACGCGCGTACGAAGATCATTGTGTTGCTTATGTTAACATTGTGCTTTTTTAAAAAAAAAGCGTGTTTTTTAAACGCTTTTCACTTAAACCCTTTTTAGTTTGACTTTTATGTTTAAAAAAGCTTGTAACGTTGCGGTGATAGCGAAAAGCAAGAGTAGGCCACTAAATTTTAAGATAAGATAAGTAAGTAAACCACGTAACCACTTTTAAGATAAGTAAGTTTATTTGTAAAACACGAGTTTTTATTTATAAAATTATTATTCACATTGACGAATTAATTTCTTTAGGAAACATAGATGGAGGGACTTGAAACAAAAGCAAGTTTTGTAAACAATCTAATTGTTGAGTATTGACCAACGCTTACGCTTGAATTGAAAAGCGTGCTTATGTGCTTATTTTAAAAAGCAAACTTGTTTGAAAGCGCGCTGCTGGCGCTGGTGGATTGTAATGTAAATTGTAACGTTAACCGCTTGGAATGTTCAGTAAGATTGTTATGTGGCAAGGAGAGTGTAGTAGCCTCCGCAGCCTCCGCAACCTCCATACTCTTGCTTAGAAGCTTAAAGTTCAGAATTCAAAAGGGTAAAGAACTAGTGATAATAAATCCAGTTTTATAAATATTATATCCGTTTTATTAATATTTGTGATCTGTTTATTGCACAAGACATTTCTGGTTAACTGGTAAACTATTCCAAAAATTAACGAGAAAACGTGTTCGCTATCGCGATCGGGCAAAGAGCGACGGTGAAACGAAACAAAATCAGAATGCGAGGCAAAAGAACTATGGAACAATTCAAATTTTAAATTTAAATACGGGTGGCCAGGAACCGGAGAAAGGCGATAAAAAGATGGGATGACGGTGTAAGGAGGCCACACCGTCACATGTTTAAGCGCTTTTCGTTTAAACGCTAACCTCTTGTTGCAAGGCTGAGGTAAGGGGTAGGGGAGGACAGCCGCGAGGAGCCTTAAAACACAAAATTCGTGAAGTGATTAACGAAATAGACCCACCATTTTGTTAAAAAGTGATTAAAAACTTTGATGAAAGAATCGACATCTGTATGGGAGCAACCATTCTTGATGGTGTGCATTAAAGTCCCCCAGAATGACTAGTTGCGCCGCTGGGTACCTTTGCTGAATCTCAACAGACGACTCACTCAGATATTGGAACAGCTTAGTTGTCTCCTGATCTCCACTGTGCGGTCGGTAAACACAGCAGTACACTATTTATGTAATTCCTGTGTCTACCAGAAGCCACAAAACAGAAAATCTCAGGTGCCTCGAGGTGTTTGAGACGCTTGACACAGATGTCATCACGAACGTACACACAGACTTCGGCACAAGGTAGAAACCTGTGCTTCAGAGTATACCCGGGGTAGTCAGCTTCGTCGCCATCCTTCTTTAAACTTATTTTCGGAAACATTAATGTTGCAATATTATATTATTGAATAACATAATGTTTTTACTATCATTATATTATTTCTATGATTATTTTTTATGTCAAAATACTCCACTAGTTTGTTATTTTTATTGATGCAAAGATCGAAAAAACACCCCATCCAATTTTTTTAGGCATTAGGTACCATTCAGACTCCATTAAAAAAAGTCAAATTTGCATAATAATTTTATTCTCTTTTTTATAGCGTCATCATCATCAACCCATTTATACGTCCTACTGATGGACAAGGATATCCTTTCAGGAGAGCGTTTCAGCCGTAGCCCACCACGCTGGCCCAATGTGGGTTGGGCTAGGTTAGGTTAGTCGCGGTAGCATCTGAACGGAACCCCGCGGTTCCAGCGCCAGGTTACGCAGGAACATCGTGAGGTTTTTAGTGGGTATGCTCTTGGGGACCGACATAGTCCCCAGGAGAGAGTCTCACATATCCCCGCCGTCTCCCAGCGGCGGGGAATGTGTGAAAAAATAGAAGTTAAGTTAGATAGTAACAGATATCAGAATAACTTACAATAGAAGCTAATAGGACCCCTTTCCCTCGTCCTCCCCCAGTCCGTTTCATTCTTGCTTTTGTAACATGGTGATTTCTTCAAGATGCCACGAATCTTCCTGGAACAGCTGGTATCGCTGATGCTTCTACAGCGGTATTCTTTATAGTCAGAATCATCAAGCTCCAGTTTTTTACTATGTAGTTTGCATTTCTTCTTTCGAAGCGGCACTGTGGTGTACGGCTTCAATATGCTGTTGAAGAAAATTCATGTATTTATTTTCATACATTTTTAAAGTAATAAAAAGAGTACAAAAACAAAATTTTATAGCTAATTACAATCTAGCCTTTTTACAAGACAATAAAGCTATTTTAATTGAACATAATTTCCTAAAATAAAAGTAAATCTGTATAAAGAAATTGCCACAACAAAATTTTTACTACAAAATATCATTTAGTATTAGGTAAGGGGAAGCACTTCGGGCTTGTGTTCATTCTCTCTCTATTTTTCATAAAAAAAAATTAATATTATTCTTAACATAAATAACATGAATTTCATAAATATACGTTAGTGTAAGAATGTTAAACTTTTTAAACTTATCTCTCAAAAAACCTAGATTATAAATTGTCCTAACCGCACGTTTTTGCAGGACGAAAATTCTATTAATATCGGTGGGGTTATCTTAAAGCAAAATGCTGCACATCATTAAACTGTGAAAGTAGCTGAAGTAAACCAAACTAGCTATTTCGACGTTTTATTTGTCTTGTCGTCGCCCATAGACAACAACAACACAGGAGCTGCCTTTACCTTTTTAATAACACTTCGACATAGCATGTGAATACTATGACGAACACTTTTTTTATTAAGTTCACAAGGTTGTGAACTATTAAAATAATAATGTGACAACCCTACGCTCTGAACAAAGTATAGGCAATGATGCGCTGAACAGGTGAACATAGCACTATTTGTTTATCTTATTATACTATGACAACAACACTACTACATATGTGGCAACTTTCATAGTAACTTTTAATATGTTAGTAGCAGTAGAGCTCCTTGTGAAAGAATTAATCCAAGGGTAATTAAGGGTAGTACTGCCACTGAGTAAGGTGGCAGTAATGTCAGCATTACCGTGTTCCGGGTTTGAAGGGTAAGGGTACTGATGACATTAAAAGCACATGGGACAGGTCAACTCATGTCTCAGAGTGACGGGCACAGTGGCAGAACCCCTCAGATCTTTGCGATTTAAAGCTCTGAGTGGCACTGTAACTGTTACGGATAGGCGTGTAGCTTACCATCAGGCGCACATGTCCCGTCACTTAATATTATAAAAAAATACATGTCAACTCTTTTACCGAATGTATCGTACTCACGAAGGTTTCTTTGCTTTTTTTATATTTTCTCTACTTGATGTGTTATCTGTGTCGGAGTCTGTGTATATAAACGTTTTTAACATTTTGGTGAAGAAACTAATTGCGAAAAACCAACTGGAAATTATAACGGATACTTGTACTGTAAAGGCTATTGTTAACAGTGGTTTTTTATTTGCTGCTCATTATGGATGGTAGATGTGTAGCGTTAAGACTGTAAGTTACATAATACAGACTACATTTTTTATTGAAGAAAGTGCGATTTTAACGCGAGACTTTGTTATTATTATAACTGTCAGATTGAAGTAGTTGTCACTATACCACTTAATGTCATTTATATATTTTGATTAAAAAAGATTTGTATATAGACTTGTATACTAAAACTCTTTACAGGGTCTACCAAACTTAAGGTGGTTTTCCACCGGCGAGGCGAAACGAGAATTAAAATCTCGCCGGCCTATTACCACCAAAAAATTTCCATTAATAGCTCGCACGAGGTCGCCGTATTTGAGAATAGCGGAAATGACTAGCGATACACACGCGTCTGAAATAACACGTCCCGTGAATTATTATTATTAAATATGTTAATAGAAGAAAAATAAAGCCATCTTTCTTTTTAAATCCTAAATCGTACATACCACACAATCTCGAAAAATATTAATAGCCAACAACAGCGAGCTCAGACAGCAAGCTCGCGCATGAAATCGTGTTTCCGTTGCAAAGTATAATATACTCTATGTGGCAGCAATACGATTCAATGTTATATCGACAAATATTTCAATTTTCGTCTCGCTCATCCTCGTCAATTCAGAACATTTCCACCGAAGATTCGCTGGGAGAGAATTGGCATTTTGCCATACATAATTCAATCCTCGTATCGCCTCGCCGGTGGAAGAGTACCTTCATGATCACGAATGAACGAAATTTCATGATTACTTTTAGTAGCAGTAGAGCTTCTTCTGAAAGAGTACTTCCAGGGAAGTACTGCCACCTTACCTATTTCTGCCGCCAAGCAGTAATGTGAGCATTACTGCGTTCCGGGTTCGAAAGGAAAGGGTGCTGGTGAAATTACAGGCACATAGGACTTGTCAACTTATATCTCAGGGCGGCGGGCGCAGTGGCAGTGTCAAATCTTTGGGAACTAAAGCTCTGAGTGTCACTGCAACTGTTATGGATAGGCGTGTCGCTTACCACCAGACGCACGACTTGTTCGTCCCATCACTTCATATCATAAAGAATATATATATGTATAAATACAGTCAAACAGTCAAGGGCCCGAAACGTTGCGTTTGTTTGAAAAAAAAACAAATTTACGCGATTTAAGTCCGGATATTTTCATTTCCTATATGTAACAATCGCGAAAACCTAAGAACTCGATATGTACACCAGTACGGACTGAACGTTGCAAATAAAATCCGGCGGTTCGAATACCTAATGAACAAACGTGCGCGCGCCCTAACTGCATTAACTTTTGTCAAAAAATATGTATAAATATAATTATTAATACAAAGATTGACCACTCAGAAAAATTCCTTCGATCCGGCCGGATTCGAACCGACGTCTTCTAGCTTACCGTGCCAGACGCTATACCAATTAAGTCAAGGAACGAGCCAGCGGACCTCACTAATTTTTCTATATGCTTGCGTCGTATGTTTGTATTTGGTTTTTCAACGACTTTACAGCCGTAGCGCCATCTGTGATAATTATAAACTAGTGGAGTAATTTCACATAAAAATAATTGAATATCAATTCATTAAAAATATGTATAAATAGTTGTACTGTTTTTCAGTTTTCTTAGGCAAACATTATACAATCATCGTCGTATATCTTAGATACGAATATAACTGACAGAACGAGCTAGGCAATAGACTACAGCTCAAAATGTGAAGTGCTAAGCCTAAAATATATTGCTCTGAAAAATTTGCCTAATGCCTGCTCCGCAAGTTAGTTAAGGAGATAATATACTGTATAATGGTCCATTTACCTGAAACATTTTAGTACTTCTTTGTCTTTTTAGTACCTTAATTGTTGTGGACTTTTTCGATATTTACTTTACTTTCATTTTTAACTTTTTTTTTTATTTTTAAAAAAGATTGGACGAACGAGTCAGTGGTAAGCTTCACGCCTATCCATAACAGTTGCAGTACCACTCATGCTCGGTTTCTGAAGTTATGTAGAATTCAAACGTTTTATAGCAGTAGAGCTCCATGTGAAAGAGTTAGTCCAGAGAAATACTGCCATGTTACCTAAGCTAATTCTGCCGCCAATCAGTAATATAAGCACTATTGTGTTCCAGGCACTATTGTGTTCCAGTTTGCAAGAGTAAAGGGTGCTGGTGAAATTAAAGGACGTGGGATTTATCAAATTATGTCTCAGGATAAGGGATTATGTCTCAGTTGAATACTACCTACCGCTAATACGTAAGGCAGATTCTCCTGAGAATTAGTAAGAAACTGTAGTGGTTGCATTTTGTAAATTAACTATTTGTACACATTTATCATAGCAAAGCTTCTACAAGCCTAAACAATATGCTAATGGCCTTATTCAGAGTGGCGGCGGGCGCGAGTGTATGTAAATCAAATGTACGTAGACGCTCCTAGCGTTCACAGTGGCCACGCGCGCCGGTGGTGCTTTCCTCGAGGCGGGTGCGGGCGCAGGTAGACCTTTTGGTGCGGTCCGCCCGTACCTTTCACAGTACTTGATCTAGCGTTTAGCGCCTGTTTGCGATTTCGACGTTTGGATCTACCTGCTCGTAACCGCTTCGGCACTGTGAATTAAAAGACGCCAAGACCCGCGCGCCCTCACCCGACGCCGCGCACGCGCCTCCTCTCTGAATGAGCCCGTGAGTTTGTTATAATTAATAATACAAAGATTGAACACTTATAAAAAATCCTTCGATCCAGCTGAATTCGAACCAGCGTCTTCTAGCAAACCGTGACAGACGCTATACCAACTAAGTCACGAAACGAACCAGCGGATCTTATGACTTTTTCTGTGTGCTTGTGAAAGAGTTCATCCAGGTTAATACAGCCACTTTATCTATTTCTGCCACCTATTACATTTGTACAGTCCGTTACAAAAGTGTTCATTAAATTTAATTTTGAATCTAAAATAATTTATACCGTGGAAATGAAACAGGAATTGATTTTCTCTCCGTAAACAATGTTCCATTCATTAAGCAAATTAGGTATTCCATGCAACATCCGTAGAATTAATAATTCAATGGAATAACAGAACGTCCCTATCAAATGAATTGCAGCCAGAATTTCGAATTAATTAGGGTTGTCAATATACAAATTAATATATTTTTTTCCCATGGAGCGTGTAACCGTTCCGAAATATCAGGAAAATAAAAAGAACTCATACCGTGGTTAAAACCTGTAATTAGTAATTATCAAATTATCATTTAAAAATTAATTTGAATAAAACATATGAAATTGGATTTTAAAGAATCATTTCAGTGTCGTTGTTGTCGTTCTCGGTGTCCTAATGGTTTGCGCTGTGGGAGATGGATGCGGAGGTCCAGGAGTGAGCTCGTTCTTCTGGACTATCGCCCTAAACTAAATATTCATATCATACCCACTCTCTGTCCTACTCAATACGGTAATGATGATTCAAAGGGGTTATGGTTACGTAAAAGTTGTTCGTGTTAATGCATGTCACTTATCTCCCTTGTGTAAAGTAATGACCTAAGTTTTTTTTTTGCTTTATTTACGAGTCGAAACCACCTTTGCTAATAATGAAATACGGTTCATTTTGCCTGAGTCGAGCGGCAGGGACACTATCTTTATTTTTTTACATACGAAACTAAAGTCTTTTGAAAAATGTATACCGTGTATAGATTACGTGTTGTATTTAGTTCATTTGGTATTAAAAAAAATCAGTGGTATATGTAAACTACCTATTGAATGCAGCGGTTTTCTCGTAAAATTTCGAGGTAAGTTTATATTTAGTTACAATCGTGAAAACTTTTAAGAATCGTGTTTTCACCCGTATAGTAATATGTGTGTACCCTCAATTTCACTACATATTTTTTCCAAAGTATTTGATACAACACTTTCACTGTTATGCGGAGTCAACCAAAGTCATTTGAGGTTGTATACTTGGATACAGGGGTTTTCCCTAGTGCAAACTAGGGAAAACCCGTGTATCGCGGGTACCATGGACAGACACATAGACAACCACAAATTATACCCAAACTCATGAGTGAAATAAATGTAGACCCTTAGAATAATAACGCATAGAAACCTAGTCCGCACACGCTAAAGGCCCATTTAGATGGAGAGAGTTTCTCGTCTCGAAGATACGATTATCGAAAGAATATAAAAAACTTTCCTCGTCTAAACATTTGCGATTATCGACCGTCCACGTGAGCGATAATCTCCTCGCCTTTCAATATAACGTCTCCGTGTAAACAGAACTCGAAAGCAAAAATCGTATTTCGAGTTTCTCGTATTTGAAGTTGGGTATCGTTTTTGAGGTATTTGGGGGTGCTCATTACGAACATAGCATTTATTTCTAAATCCAAGATGGCCGACACGACTTTTCAAGTAAATGTACTTTTCAATAAACACTCCTTACTAATTCCCCACTCACTCCCTACTCACTCACTCACTCACTCACTGACCACTCACTCACACACTCACTCACTCACTCACTCACTCACTCACTCACTCACTCACTCAC